ATTCTGTGGCGAAGTCTGAGGAGTGGAGACTTTGGGGAGAGGCCTCAGCTGGATATAATGCCACAGAGTACACCCATTTTTCCCAGGGGGACACATCTCTGTTGTCTAGAGTTCAGCGGTAATTTTGGGGGATCTCCAGGTCCCACCTGGGCTAACAAACCTAGGCCTAGCAGCACCCTCTGGGTGACCTGATACCACCTGACTTGCATGACTCAACTGGGCATGGCTACTTCCTACTGTTCAACAGCAGCCACCCTATGAAAGTCATCGTAGTATAATGGTCAGCTCTTAGGGTTTGCGAGACCCAGGTTTAGAACCCCATCTTGCCGTGGAAGCTCACTGGTTGATTTTGGACCAGTCACATATTTTCAGCCTAACCTACCTCATAGGGTTGTTGTGTGGATAAAAAGGAGGAGAAAATCATGTAAATTGCTTTAGTCCCCACTGTGGAGAAAGACCATAGTTTTTCTCAGTAGAAACAGCAGGGGGAAAGGAGACAGACAGCTGAATACAGAGGGGCAGATAAAGGTAGGTTGGCTGTTGGTTGGGAATGAGATAGGGATGCCAACTCCAGGTTGCAGAATTCTTGGATATTCGTGGGGTGGTGCCTGGGGATGGTGGATATTGGGGAGGGGAGGGACTTCAGACAGATGTAATGCCATAGACTTCACCCTCCAAAGCAGTCATTTCCTCCAGGGGAACTAATGTTGCCAACCTTCAGGTGAGTATCCAGAGAGAACCATGGAAGATTGCACAACAAACACAAATACCATGGAGAATAACAAAAACAAGTAGGCAATATAAGTGTGTGTGTGAATGAAAATGCATAAACTGTAATAAAGTCACAATATTTCACCATTCAAAGACAATATCAACATTCAAAGTGCATATTGCATGTAAAAGTCCAAATCCATATCAAAGCAAGCCATAACAGTCAACATGAGATAAAGTTGTTTGTCGAATTAAAGTGCTTGTGTGTGTAATTCTTATCAATAAGATATGAATGTCCCTTCCTCCTTTCTTCCTTTAACAATAACATCAACTTGGACATCGTTTCGCAAAACGCTTCTTCAGAAGAGAATACAGGAGCATAACATTTACAAATCCAGAGAGTTCTATAATGTATAATAATTAACAAGTAGTATGGAATACGAACAGAAGACATGTAGTGCAAAGTAACAAACACCAACAAAGTCAGTTTCACATCAAGCCCTGGAGCTAGAGTAATATGCTTAGAGATCTACTGAAACTCATACTGTTTAAACTGTGAGAAGGAACATTGACTAAAAACACCGGCTAGAGAATTAAAGAGCCAGGAACCTGCAAAAACAAAATACTCTACAGAAAATACTTTACAGAAAATATTGCCTACTTGTTTTCGTTATTCTCAAAGGTGTTTTTGTTTGTTGTGTAACTTCCAGGTGAGGGCTGGAGATCTCCTGGAATTGCAGCTGACCTCCAGATGAGAGAGATCAGTTTCCCTGGAGAAAATGGTAACCTCAGAGTTTTTTCTCAAACAATAGAATGTCCCCCCTGCAACTTGCCCTGCATGATGACATCACATCCAGGTGACCTCATTGCACCGGGCACGCTAGCGCAGAAGGGGGTCTTTGGGGGTAGGGTTCCCCCCATCCGCTAGCTCAGAGGCGGCAGATCGGGGCCCCTGAAAGCGGGTAAAGCCCAGTCCCCATTGGGGGAATGGCAACCCTATTCATACATTTTTTAAAAAATAAATAACAGAACGTTGCGGCTGGTCGGTGTTCCAAAACCTATTGGCAAGTTTTGTCTGGCTTGAATTACCAACCCACTTTTCCAAATTTAGACAAGCCCTTCTTGGAGTGAATGTGTTCCAATTGTCCCTTTTCACCTTATTTTCTGACACACCTCTTTTATCCTTGCCTTTTGGAGAGGCAAAAATGCATAAACTGTAATAAAGTCACAACATTTCACCATTCAAAGACAAGATCAACATTCAAAGTGCATATTGCATGTAAAAGTCCAAATCCATATCAAAGCAAGCCGTAACAGTCAACATGAGATAAAGTTGTTTGTCAAAATAAAGTGCTTGTGTGTGTAGTTCTTATCAATAAGTTATGAATGTTCCTTCCTCCTTTCTTCCTTTAACAATAACATCAACTTGGAAATCGTTTCGCAAAACGCTTCTTCAGAAGAGAATACAGGAGCATAACATTTACAAATCCAGAGAGTTCTATAATGTATAATAATTAACAAGTAGTATGGAATACGAACAGAAGACATGTAGTGCAAAGTAACAAACACCAACAAAGTCAGTCTCACATCAAGCACTGGCGCTAGAGTAATATGCTTAGAGATCTACTGAAACTCATACTGTTTAAACTGTGAGAAGGAACATTGACTAAAAACACCGGCTAGAGAATTAAAGAGCCAGGAACCTGCAAAAACAAAATACTCTACAGAAAATACTTTACAGAAAATATTGCCTACTTGTTTTCGTTATTCTCAAAGGTGTTTTTGTTTGTTGTGTAACTTCCAGGGGAGGGCTGGAGATCTCCTGGAATTGCAGCTGATCTCCAGATGAGAGAGATCAGTTTCCCTGGAGAAAATGGTAACCTCAGAGGTTTTTCCTCAAACAATAGAATGCCCCCGCTGCAACGTGCCCTGCATGATGACATCACATCCAGGTGACATCATTGCACCGGGCACACTAGCGCAGAAGGGGCTCTTTGGGGGTAGGGTTCCCCCCCCCCGGCTAGCTCAAGGGCGGCAGATCGGGGGGCCCTGAAAGCGGGTAAAGCCCAGTCCCCATTGGGGGAATGGCAACCCTATTCATAAATTAAAAAAAAAAAAATAACAGAAGGTTGCGGCTGGTCGGTGTTCCAAAAGCTGTTGGCAAGTTTGGTCCGGCTTGAATTACCAACCCACTTTCCTAAATTTAGACAAGCCCTTCTGGGAGTGAATGTGTTCCGATTGTCCCTTTTCACCTTATCCTCTGACACGCCTCTTTTATCCTTGCCTTTTGGAGAGGCTTTGCAAACATTTTTGTTAGCGTGATTTGTCGATGGCGCCTTTCCCTGGAGTCACTAGACAGTATCAGTGCAATCCTCAGCGGAGTCACACTGTACTGAGCCAGTTGACTTCTGTGGCTTCTGGAGGCTGCAACTTTGTTTAGGATTAGGACTTAGTCTCTGATTTAGGAAAGGACGTGTCTTGACTTTTCAAAAAGATTCCTGCATTGTGCAGGGGGCTGGACTGCGTGCCCCCGGAGGTCCCTTCCAACTCTATCATTCCATGATTCTGTGATTCTAGTGCAAATGCTTGTGCATGAAGAGAACAGAATGATACAGGGCTATTTTTGGGCAGGAACGCACAGGAACAGAGTTCCGGCTGGCTTCAGAGCTGGCCACGCCCACTATGGCCAAAACCTCTGCATGCGTGGCTACAGAGGGAAGGCCTGGATAACGGAAAAAAACCCCAGAGCCAGAGAAGGCACAGGGAGGCATTTAAATGCCTCCACGATCCTTCCAGCTCCAGCCCCCCCCCCGGTGACTCCAAGGTGGGCGGGCCAGGGGGGGGGCCTGGAAGGATTGTGGAGGCATTTAAATGCCTCCCCGTGCCCTCTCTGGCTTGTCCAAGGGCTGGCTTGCCCTCCCTTCCCTTCCCTTCAAATCCCGCAGCCACAGGGCACCCAGGCAAGCCAACGGAAGGCACGGGGTGTGGCCTAATATGCTAATGTGTTTCTGCTGTTGGGTGTGGCCTATTATGCTAATGAGTTCCTGCTGGGCTTCTTCTACAAAAAAAGCCCTGGATGTGGAGGAGTGAACCCGGCACGTTCAGCAGCATGCAAAGCAGATGTTTTGCCGTGGAGCCCTGATCCTTCTCCAAGTATAGGACTGCGTGGCAGCCAGGCTTGCTAATGCTCTGTGCTGAATTAGGAAATGGGAACCACTAAAAAGAAGAAGAAGGAGAGAAGAGATTGGATTGATACCCCGCCCTTCACTACCCGGAGGCGTCTCAGAGTGGCTGACAAACTCCTTTCCCTTCCCCTCCCACCCTCCTGAGGTAGGCAGGGCTTGGAGAGCTCTTGAGAACTACCCTTGAGAGAACACCTCTAAAAGAACTTGTGACTGACCCAAGGTCACACCAGCAGCTGCAAGTGGAGAAGTGTGGAATCAAACCTAGTTCTCCCAGACTAGAGTCTGCACTCCTAACCACTACACCAAAGTGCTACTACATCTTTGTATCTCAAATGATGTTGAGAGGAGCCTTGCCAGATCAGACCAGTGGTCCAGCTAGTTCAGCATCCTGCCTCACACAGTGGCCAACCAGTTTCCATGGAGGACCAACAAGAGGGCACAGAGGCTGAGGCCTTCCCCTGATGCTGTCTTCTGGCATGGGTATTCAGAGGTATGCTTCTGTATGTGGAGGCTCTCTTTAGTCACTATGGCTAGTAGCTACTTCTTATGCCTTCTTTCCAGAGTCAGCCTACCGGAGCTCTGAGCTGCACAGGGTGTGCTCTGTACAGTTAGGAGGCGAGAGTTAAACTTTGACAGAAGCTGTACACTGGATGTGGTTTCCCTCCAATCCATTTTACGTTGACCTGTAAACATCACTTCAGACGTGGGTAAGGAGCCATACAACCACTTTCTTTAGCAGGAAAGTGGCCTTTAATCTGTTTTGAGAGCCAGTTTGGTGTAGAGGTTAGGGGCATGGATTTTAATCTGGGAGAACCAGGTTTGATTCCCCACTCCTCCACACGCAGCTGCTGGTGTGACCTTGGGTCAGTCACGAGTTCTCTCAGAGCTGTTCTCTCAAGAGCAGTCCTTGAAAGAGCTCTCTCAGCCCCACCTACCTCACAGGGTGTCTGTTGTGGGGAGAGGAAGGGAAAGGAGATTGTAAGCCACTCTGGGACTTCTTTGGGTAGTGAAGGGCAGGGTATAAAACCAACCTCCTCCTCCTCTTCTTCTTCTTCTCCTCCTCCTCTCAGAAGCAAAGTAGGGTCGGCCCTGGTTATTACTTCGATGGGAGAAACACATGCACACAAAATAAAAGGTGCTAGTTTGCACCCAAGTCTCAGCATGGAAGGAAAACTTATGGTAAATTTCAGTAAGTTATGGTGAATTTATTGTAGATGAAGACACAGGAAGTCATGCATTTGCATCCTGAATCCTCCTGGCATGAAAGATGTTTCTTCTTCAAATGGAGGGAGGTTGGGGTCTCACCAAGGCACGGCTGCCCCCTCCCAGTTCACAAACGTGCCGTTGTCTTTCTCAGTGAGACGGCCGAGGGTGTTCAGGGCGGCTCCCACGCTTGCATCCACCGTCAGTGGGGCTTGTCCCTTTGGAAAGAGAATCGGCAGGTCACACAAGGGCACTGGATGGCTGACCAGCTCTGTAAACTGCAGCATCTGTGTCCCATGTTCAGATAACCAATGCAAATGGGAAAAGATAACCAATGCAATGCAAATGCTGACCTCTGTTTATAGAACTCCATTCCACTGCAGGTTCACCGCAACGCATTTGGATGTAGCATATGATCTGTGTAACTGGGGCCACATAGTTCTTCCAGCAAAGGACCTTGTGGAACTCACTGCCCCAAGGTATGCTGATGCCCGCTAGCTTAGATGGATTTTATTTCAAAAAGTTAAGACGAATTCATGACACTTCGACCTATGAATGGCTATTATCCGCAATAGCTAAAAATGGAACCTCTTTGTCAGGGCCAGATCTGGGGGTGAAATCCTAGGAGCTAACATAGGGTTTCCACCTCTGAGTTGGGAAAATCCTGGTTAGGGTTTCTAGCTCCAGGTAGGGGGATTCCTGGAGTTCTGGGGGTGGAGCCTTGGGAGGGCAGGGTTTGGGAAGGGACACACGCAAGGTATGACGCCATAGAGTCTGCCTTCCAACTCAGCCGTCTTCTCCAGGGAACTGATCTCTGCAATCAGGAGATCAATTGTAATTCTGGGAGACCTCCAGGCCCCACCTGGAGGCTGGCAACCCTAACTCCCAGGCACACCCAGGCCTGGTTTAGATCAAGACCATGAGAAGGACATATGGAGGACATACAGCCTCTTAGGAGGCCTCTTCATCAGACAAGGGTGGGCGGGCTGACATAACAGGCATGCATCCTCTTCGATCTTCGGCTTTGTGTCCATAAGTGTTTATGCTTAATAAGCCAATTCATTCATAAATCATAATGAGAGGGATCATGGGATTGTCTCCCAGCTCACATTCTAAATGAACATGGTATATTATGCCATAGCTAACTCTAGGGAAGAATGATCCTGTAGCAGTCGCAGCGTAGGAGCTGGCCTGTGAAAACTGGGAATGTGTCATTGAGGATGCTCCAGGTTGGGCTGTAAGAACATTATTTAGAAATGAAACACAGGGTGGGGATTCTGATACAAATTGACTCTGCTAGAAAAGCCCTGGCACAGAAGCCCCCGTTATGATGCCTGTCTGCTGCTGAATCTGCCACACCAAAGACTACTTAGAGACTTAGCCTTTGACTCTGGGCATTCTTTATCAGCCCTAGAGGGTCAATGATTCCCTGTTAGGCCTATCTCTTCTTGTTACCTCCAGGTGAGATTGGTGGAACCCCCCCGGGATTCATGTGAAGGTAACTCATGCTGCCCTTAGCTTAATTATTGCATGGCATTGTGCCAGGAGATCCTGGAAGGGATTGAGTGCTGAAGCTGTAGTTCTTTTTTGGCACCACTAGGTGGCAAGCTATGCTTATGTTTCATCTGAGAGTGCTGTGACTTGCTTAAGGTCGCCCGTGTAGCTTCAAGGGGGGAAGTGGGGAATCGAACCTGGTTCTCCATATTACAGTCCGCCACTTTTAACCACTACACCAAATTTGCTCTCTACTGCTCTCAGCACTTGCCTCCAATCCTGACCACACAGACATGCTGCTGAGTTCAATTTGGCATAATTACATGACAGTCATGTTGGATCAGGCCAATGGCCTATCCAGTCCAACACTTTGTGTCACACAGTGGCCAAAATAACAGGTGCCATCAGGTGGACTATATACTAATAGTGAAGTCAGCCAAATCTTTGGATAATAAAATCCGATGAATGGAGCTGTGAGCAAGACAGATTTTTCTACAAATCTGGAAAGGGACCCAAGGTTTGCAAAAAAATACAAAAAAAACAACAACCTGAAAATGATAAAAACCCTGTACCTTGAAGCAATGAATTGCCTAGTGGCTGTTGCTAGGCAACCATAGCATTCCAAGATAGGTTATGTCAGTAAAAGGCAGGGGGAGAGGTCAGGGTCCTTTCTAGATCTGTTTTTGGTCTTTGAGGAAGGACACCTTGAGGCCAGGCCAGACTAGGGTTGCCAACTCCAGGTTGGGGGAAATTCCTGGAGATTTTGTGGTGGTTGTCTGAGGAGATCAGGGTTTGGGGAGGGGAGAGGCCTCAGCTGAATATAATGCCATAGAGTCCACCCTCCAAAGCAGCTATTTTCTCCAGGAAGAACAGATCCCTGTTCTCTGGAGTTCAGTTGTAATTCTGGGCAATCTCCAGGTCTCACAGGGAGGTTGGCAACACTAGGTCTGGCAGCAACTCTGCGTGACTTGATACCACCTGACTCGCATGACTCAACTAGGCCTGGCTGTTTGCTACTCTTCAGCAGCAGTCACCCTATGAAAGCCGGTGTGGTATAGCACTTAGGGGTTCAGAGTAGGGTCTGGAAGACCCAGGTTTGAATCCCCATCTTGCTGTGGAAACTCACTGGGTGATTTTGGACCAGCCACCTACTTTCAGCCTAATCTTCCTCACAGAGTTGTTGAACAGATAAAAAGGAGCGGGAGAGAATAATGTAAGCTGCTTTGGTCCCCGCAGTGGAGAAAGGTGGGGTATAAATGAAATAAATAAATAATATGTAGAGCTGAAGACGGGAGACAAATAACAGGTAGGTTGATGAATGGCTGGAGAAGAAGAAAATGAGGAGGAGGAGGAGACTGGATTTATACCCCGCCCTTCACTAGCCGGTCTCAGAGCGGCTTACAAACTCGATTCCCTTCCCCTCCCCACAACAGACACCCTGTGAGGTAGGTGGGGCTGACAGAAACAGCTCTTTTTCAAGAACAGCTCTTATCAGAACTACGGCTTGCCCAAGGACATCCAGCCAGGTCCAAGTGGAGGAGTGGGGAATCAAACCCAGTTCTCCCAGATTAGAGTCCGTGCACTTAACCACTACACCAAACTGGCTCCAACCTACAACAAAATAAGAAAAGTTTCTAAAAAGTGGCCCCAAATCAAACCAGTGATGTCTTCTTCTGTAGTCATGATCCGAAATTGTTTAAGTCAGCGGCAGCAGGAAAGCAGGCTCAGAGCAGTGGCTGAAGCAGAAGCCAGCCACACAATCTCAGCAGCAGGATATACCCACCTGAGGTTGCTTTCCTCCCCAGACCTCGCCCTTCCAAGGCTCCACCCCCAAATCGTTAGGAATTTCCCAACTTGTTGCTGGCAACCATAAGACAACTGATCTGTGCAGATGGGAGATCCGTTGGGATTCCAAGAGATCTCTAGGTTGGCAGACCAAGAAAGAGAGAAGGGAGCAGGAAAAGGGGAAAGGCTATGAGACTTTCAGGAAAGGGAACGAGGAAAATAGTGGGGATGGGGAAAGTGAGATGCCACCCGCAAGTCCTCGTGAGTTCCCACTTGTAACGATATTATCCATTCTGCGTCTTCCTTGGCTATGATTTCAAAATCATCAAATCAGTTTCGATGGCCTGTGTGTAGGAATGAATCTGCACCATGAAACACCTACCGCTGAGCTTCCCATGTCTGTTTGCACCGAAGGGAGCAGGAAAAGGGGAAAGGCTATGAGGCTTTCAGGAAAGGGAACGAGGAAATAGTGGGGATGAGGAAAGTGAGATGCCACCCGCAAGTCCTCGCGAGTTCCCACTTGTAACAATATTATCCAGTCTCCGTCTTCCTTGGCTATGATTTCAAAATCATCAAATCAGTTTCGATGGCCTGTGTGTAGGAATGAATCTGCACCATGAAACACCTACCGCTGAGCTTCCCATGTCTGTTTGCACCCATCCAGGGTGTAATGCAACACACAGGATCCCGTCTTCTGCATATCCCAGGAACTGGCACCGGGTGAGCATGTTCAGAGCAGCCTAGGTGGGAGACACGCGAGAAACAAGGACATGCATTGAGTTCGGTACTTAATTCTAAGGACACAAACTGCACTAAGGCTTCCACCTTTGCATACTACGCATGTCTCTCTACCTTGCTGCAGCGGTAATTAATGAAATGCCCAAGATCCCATCTGTAGACAGTAGCGATGGAGCCTCCTTCACTGGACACGTTGACAATGGCGGCTTTGCTACAGCTCATCCCTTTCTGGGAGCTTTCCTGGGACGCCTTCCTCAGCAAGGGCCAGAATGCCTGGAGAAGGAGAGGGAAGAATCAAGTATAACAACGTAACTGCCTACAGGGAGGCTGAAATAGCTCTTCATCAGGGTGGGAGACTCACCGATCACTCACCTTCTAGGTGGCCCTGTGCTCTCGTAGCCTTATCATCAAGATGGCGGACAGTAATCAGGGCTCTTTTTGTAGCAGGTACTTATTTGCATATTAAGCGACACACCCCTAATGTAGCCAATCCTCCAAGAGCTGACAGTAGCTCCTGTAAGAAGAGCTCTGTAAGCTCTTGGAGGATTGGCTACATTAGGGGGTGTGGCCTAATATGCAAAGGAGTTCCTGCTACAAAAAGAGCCCTGACTTCATTGGCGGTTATTTATGATCCTGGTTCAATGGGCACAGTTCCGCCCTTCATCACCTCCCCAACCCAACCAAGGATGGTGCACCAGTTGAATTTCTGTTCTCTTACGCCACTGTTAACGTCACAACAGAACCTTTGCCTGGGAGAACAGGCAGTATCGAACGGTCAAAAAAACACTGGGAGGCATCCAAGCATCCTTCAAAGCAGTCCTTCTCCTCCAAAGGAGCCATCCTAGGACTTAAGTGGCTCTTCTTCCAAGCGGAGATCCACTTCATTTGGAGGACACCTGGATCCGAGTCCAGGAGGACCTTAGAGACCAACGAGGTTTCAGAGTCAAAGCTCCTTTCATCAGGTACCCCAGGTACAGGGGTCATTTCCTGCAGGAGCGCACAGGAGCCTTTTTCTATGAAATGACCCCTGCCCAGGTATATGGATTCCGAAAGCTTTTATCCTGAACATCTTGTTGGTCTCTAAGCCCCTCCTGGACTCGGAGGGGGCTGTTGTACTGCGGACCAACACGGCTTCCCTCTGAAACGATCTGCATTTGGAGGAAGTCTCCTTAGACTGGAGGAAGACTTCAAACTTGAGCCAAAAAAGAAAACAGGGTTGCATTTACCTGTACCTGTTGTTCATTGACACCTTCTGTGCAGACACACCTAGGGACTGAGCATAGTCCTCTGCTCAGCTAACCGCAGACTGGGCCCATAACCCTGTCAATATTGTGCGGTGCTAGCCCACTGCAGACCGAACATGGATGCCAGGATATCCGATAAAGACTGGAGTCTTCAAGGCTTGTGTAAAAGTTATTTACAGTTTATTTTACAAAGCCTCCACCAAATAATTACAGAGACTGACGTAATGCTCCGCAGACAACCGATATTTACAAGAAGATGTATTCTGTGCAGACACACCTAGGGACTGAGCACACGTGAGCTGACCACAGGAATGGAAGTTTCTGGCTTCCCAAGGAACCGAGGGGGTGCAAAGGCTTTTCCTGCCCAAACTGTCACGTGCTCTGAAGCGGTGGCGCCTCCCTCCCTCGGTTCCTGCTTGTCCACTGTGAACTCTGAGAAAGGATAACCATAAAAACATGGTAAAAGCAGACAAGAGAGCTCATAGCAGGGCCAGGAGAGAAGGAATGTGTGTCTGCACAGGAGACACTGGTGAGCAACGGTTACAGTTTCCATCTGGTTTTGATCTTCCATCTTCAGTGCAGCTCCACACTGGGATTTTAGCAAGCTACTCGCCAAAAGGAGGCCAGGCGATGTTCTCACTGGAACAGTGGGATAACCATAAAAACATGGTAAAAGCAGAGAAGAGAGCTCATAGCAGGGCCAGGAGACACTGGTGAGCAACAGTTACAGTTTCCATCTGGTTTTGATCTTCCATCTTCAGTGCAGCTCCACACTGGGATTTTAGCAAGCTACTCGCCAAAAGGAGGCCAGGCGATGTTCTCACTGGAACAGTGGCTGGAGCGCTGCTTTTCCAAACTGTTGTGTATGGAAAAACTATGTTAAGCTTGAATCTGAACAAGGATTGTAAATAGACCAATCAGAGCTGTGCAAGGTTCAGGAGGGAAGCACTCTGATTGGACCTTATCTGTAAATGGTTGTTAGCTGACATGTGGGCGTGGCCTTCCAAGCCCGGACTGTTTAAAAGAGAGCCTGTTGCTCTATGTTTTTGTCTCGTTCTGATTTCTTCTGACTTCGTTGAATCACTGTTCACCTGCTGCCTTGAGTCTCGTATCTAACACAAACCTCTGATACTACCAGTGGCAAGAAAGTAACTGAGGCAGAGGGGCTCCAGAGCACATGACGGTTTGGGGGGGGGGAATGTGCTAGTTCTGGAGGGCAGGGGCGCCCCATCATTTCCTTAGGAAGCTAGAAACTTCTATTCCGTGGCCAGCCTGCATGTGGGTAGTCCCAATATGGGGCTTAACTGAAGGCGGAAGATGGAAGGGGAGGTGCAAATAAATTAACAAATAGATAAATAAACACACTTTCCTCAACAGGGGCGGTAGGATAAAGGAAAGGTCCACCTCACTATCCTTCAGCCACATGCAGTGCAATCCTAAGCAGAGTTACGCCCTCCTGAGCCTACTGACTTCAATGGACTTAGAAGGGGATAACTGTACATGGGGCCACACTGTTAACCTCCAAATGCGAAGAGCCCAGCTCTACAGAATGATGAGGAGGAGAAAGCCCAGGATGTCCTTACCTGGCTCACCAGCATGGGCCCGATCACATTGGTTTTGTACACCTCAGCCATGACTTCTGACGTCTCGGATTCGAGAGTGCTTGGCCTTAGAATCGCAGCATTGTTGATTAGGAGATTCAGCCCGGCTCCTTGCAGGTGTTCGGTGACTCTGGTTGCAGCAGCCTGGATGCTGGATGGATCACTAGTATCTACAGCAGCAAAGGTTTTCAGGTAACTAAAGGTGAGCCACCACTAGCTAGGAAGCAATTCAGCAGACCAACACACACACAACTGCCTTTAGAGCATGTGCTCTTTAGAGCATGTGTTCTCACAGGGCAGAGAACTAAGGGTCCTTTCACACAGTGCATTGATTTTTCCATGCATGTAAAATATTTCATGTATACAAATAAGGAACAGGTAACGTATGTGTGTACAAAGGTAAAGGTTTCTCTTGCTCAAAAGCCAGTCGAATCCGACTCTAGGGGCAGTGCTCATCTCCGTTTCCAAGCCGACGAGCCAGCACTGTCCGAAGACTTCTCTGTGGTCATGTGGCCGGCATGACTACATGCCGAGGCGCACAGAACGCTGTTACCTTCCCACCAAAGCGGTGCTTTCAAACTGCTAGGTTGGCAGGAGCTGGGGCCAGAGACAGGAGCTCACTCCGTCACATGGCACTAGAGCCTCAAACTGCCGAACTACAGACTTTCTGGTCTGCAGCTCAGCATCTTAACCTCTGAGCCACCGCAGCCCATGTGTGTGTATAATCAGCCCATAATTGCCAATGCAAACTCTTTAATGCCAGTTTGGTGTAGTGGTTAAGTGTGCGGACTCTAATCTGGGAGAACCGGGTATGATTCCCCCCTCCTCCACTTGCACCTGCTGATGTGACCTTGGGTCAGTCACAAGCTCTGGCATAGCTGTCCTTGAAAAAGAGCAGTTTGTGTCAGAGCTCTCTCAGCTCCACCCACCTCACAGGGTGTCTGTTGTGGGGAGGGGGAGGGGAAGGAGTTTGTAAGCCACTCTGAGACTCCAAGTGAAGGGCGGGGTATAAATCCAATCTCCTCCTCCTCCTCCTCCTCCTCCTCAAGCGGGGCCAGGAATGCTGGTGCCCTGGTCTTGTCTAAATCGAAAATGAGCCACAGGAGTTCATTGGCTGGGCAGCTAATTGCCTAGGCTGTGGGGCAGGCCAATGGGCACACCACAGAAGGGGCTTCTCACTCTGGAGCAAACTGAAATCTTATGAATCGGCAGGGACAGATGGCAAACACCCAAAGGTTCTTAAAGAACTGAAATCTAAAATTGTTCATCTGCTACCTTGTTGCTAAAATTGGCCTAGTGCTGGATGACTGGGAAATACCAAAGGTCAGCCAGCCCAGTTTTTAGAAAGGGCTTCAGAGGGGATCCAGAAAATTACATGCCAGTAAACTGAACATCCGTTCTGGGTAGATTAGTAGAAATTGTTATTAAAGAGAGAGTTCTTAAACACATCAGTGAATAAAGTCTGCTGAGGAAGTGTGGCTTCTGCAAAGGGAAATCCTGCCTCCCCAACTCTTGCAGTACTTGGAGCAACTTAACAAGGACATGGATAAGGACAATACTGTAGACACATACTTGAACAAACTATTCAGTCAGTCAGCAAGCAGATTACAAAGTATGGGACCAATCTAACAGCAAAGATTTCTAATAAAATGAATGCACTGTTTCTGGCACTGAAGAACTGCAGCAGAAGTACAACTGGGGCAGAGCACACATTAATGGAGTGCTAGAAATGGGGAACAAGTGTGCACTTAAACTACAATGCGGAGATCTTGGGGAACAGCCTTGAATCTGTATGAAGAGGGCATTTGAGTGGCCCATCACTTACCCATGGGGAGGATTCTGACACCCCGATATTTGGCAGCCAAGTTCTTCAAGTCCTGAAAAAGACCAGAGGCAGAGACCTGAAATGCAACATCAAGACTGGTTTATTTGAAAGGGCGGAGTGTTTAGGGATGGGTTTTTCACTAGGGGGTAGTGCCTTTAAATTGAAAAGAAACAGAAATGCCCTGAGACTGGGAAAGTGTACAAACCTCACTAAAGAACTTGCAGCTCCAGCCCTCTGCATCTAGAGCAGTCCCCTTGTTGCACACCTATCCCAATCCAAGATACACCCAATCCTACCACGACTTTCACCTGGGCACGTGGTCCCTCTGGGTCCCGGCAGGTGGCAAAGACCCATTCTGGCCCCTTGCTCTTCCCCACCAGTTGCCGGACCAGCTCCAAGCCAATGCCCCGGTTGGATCCCGTCACCAGGACGCTGCGCACATTTAGCATTGTGGTGTTGTGTCGTCTGCTGTTGTCTGACTAGCAAAGCCAAAGATCAGCCGGCGAACTACAGTCCCCTCCCAGGTTTGCATAAGTCACTTGGCTGCTGTGATAACACATAATCGTGCCATTGGCTTGGTTCCTGGGAATCAGCCTCCTAGATTTCAGCACAGCTGCCAACTCATTACCCAAAGAAAAAAAGGAAGTGGAAGAACTGGGGGGTTTCAGCTGCTTAATGCAACAACAGCTTGTGCTGTGTTTATAATGTGCACCCTTCTCTACTTTCACTCTTTACATCTGCATCCATAGATCATGGGGAAATAGCACAATCCAATTGTTTCAAACTGGCTTTTCCTACGGAGGCAAGCCCAGTAGCAAATGATGGTGGCTGCGCAATGCCAGCATCAGTATATCTTATTCTCAACATGAACCTATCTGTGGATACTTAAATCTGGAGACTGGGAACATGAACAGGGAAGAGAGACCTTTCTAGAAAACTAAGGAAAACCCCAGATTTGCAGAAAAATCTAAAATAGGTGGCTTAGGAAACCCCAAAATGATAGAAGCAGCACTTGTTGCTTTTAGAAACTAATATATGCCAGCCTTCAAGCCTTGGTTTCTGGCAGTAAAAGGCTGGGGAAGGGGCAGGGCCTTTTCCAGAGTTGTTTTGGCCTTACAGGGAGAACTAATTGGGGACAAGCCTGGCAACAATACCAGGCAATTTGCATAACTCACATAGGCCTGCCTGGTTGCTATTGCTCAACATCAGCCACCCCCAAAAAGTCACAAGAAACACAAACCATTTTATCAGGACCAGACAATTAGTTGTGATACTTGTAGATTTTCCGGGCTGTATGGCCGTGGTCTTGGCATTGTTCCTGATGTTTTGCCAGCAGCTGTGACTGGTATCCTTACTCTCTGTGTCAAGGTGAGAAGGAAAATGGCAGGCAGGTAATTTATATCTACTCAGGAAGGTGGGGTAGGGCTGAGTCATTATCTTGTAGGAATTTCCCACGCTGTGACATGCTAATGGAGGAGCTTTCCTGAGGAGGTTCTTTTGCATATGAATTGGCTGTTGAAATTCTAATCTTATCTGTAGTGCTGTTGTAAGATGTAGAGCATTTTGTGTTTTTCAGGACAGGAAACCATGCCCTATTTATTTTTAAACTCTTTTCTTTCCTGTTGAAATTTATGTTTATGAATTTCAATGGCTACCTTGTGTAATCTCACATGGTAATTGGATGTGTTGTGATACGTTTGCTGATAAAATATCAAGAATATGCTCTGATTTAAATGCTGACTATAAGATGAGTCCAACAGAAGAACTACCCAATACATCACATGTTCTGCTGATGGAAAACTTTGATGCAGTTTTCATGAGGGATGTTGACAAGCTCCTGGGATCTGTGAAGGCCACTGCTTATGTCCTGGATGCTTGCTCATCCTACCTTCTAAAATCAGGTAAAGACTACATCAACAAATCGTTAATATCTCTCTTATATATAATTGCGGAATGGTGGTGGCTTCTGTCCTATGGGGTGGCGAGATTGCATGTGCTCACTCAGCCATTGGCCCGTCGGCTGCCAGTCAAGACTACTGGCGTGCCATTGGCTGGGGGTGCTCCTCTTCCCCGCCCACTCCCCTTTCAGCCACTGTGCTCTGTGTCAGAAGTACTCTGTCTTCCGCTATTACCTTCCAGCCAAAGTGGTACCTATTTATTTACTTACAATTTCTTGCTTTCGAACTGCTAGGTTGGCAGGATTTAGCTGATAACCTCCCTCTAAATGTAGACAAGGATCAGGCCTCCTACTGGATTTATCTGCTGCTTTTGACACAGCAGAGTAGACCATCACCATGCCATCTTGTTGAGATGCCAGGAGACAGAAGTAGGCATCAGGTTCTGTACATTGTATGGCTTCAAATCCTTCCTCTTGGATGAGAACCAAAGACTTGCAACTGGAGACAAGTTATCATCAGTGTGAGATCTATCCTGTGGGGGTCCAGAGGGTACAATTCTATACCTCTATCCTCTTCAGTCTTTTTGTAAAGCCCTTTGGCCAATTTGTTGTTTTGTGGTTGGCTGTCATAAATCTGCAGACAATACACAGCTATACTTTCCCTTATCCAAGTCTCCTGGTGATGCGGTAGAGGTCTTAAACTGCTGCCTGGATTCTGTGTTTCAATGGCTAAGAGTGAACAAATGGAAACAAAACCCTGGAAAGACAGAAGTAATGGTGGTGGGAAGGCAGAGGTCTTGAAGGATATTATGCTCCCCATCCCCAATGGGATTCAGCTGACCCTTGCCAACTCGGGGTTGTACTAGACCCAGCATTATTGCTGTAGAAACAAGTTAATGCAGTTGCAAAAAAAGGCTTTCTTCCAACTCATCGTAGCTCAAAAAGTAGCCCTTTACCTTGAGACGGCTGATCTGGTCACCTGGATCCATGCCACAGTGACATCCAGACTAGACTATACCGTAGTGCATTGTACACTGATCTCCCTTCAAATCAGTTCCGAAACTCCAGTTGGTGTAGAACAGGGGTGTCGAACTCATTTGTTATGAGGGCCGGATCTGACATAAATGAGACCTTGTTTGGTGAGAGCCAGTTTGGTGTAGTGGTTAAATGTGCAGACTCTAATCTGGAAGAACCGGGTTTGATTCTCCACTGCTCCACTTGCACCTGCTGGATGACCTTGGGCAAGCCATAGTTCTGGCACAGCTGTTCTTGAAAAAGAGCAGTTTCTGTCAGAGCTCTCTCAGCCCCACCTACCTCACAGGGTGTCTGTTGTGGGGAGGGCAAGGGAAAGGAGTTCATAAGCCGCTCTGAGACTCCCTTGGGTAGTGAAGGGTGGGGTATAAAACCAATCCTCCTCCTCCTCCTCCTCCTCCTTCTTCTTCTTCGTCATGTGTGTCATAAAATGTAATGCCAGATAGTGGAGATATATAAACTTTATAAAGGACACAAACACAAAGGGCTTTTTTAACTTAAAATAAAAACATGCTTAAGCACGCTTGCAATATTTTGTTTATTTAACAGTGTCCAATAAATGACACTTCTTGCTCTGAATTATTGCATCAAAATGCCTGTGCTGTTGCAATCCTGAGTATGCTGTTCAGGTGTGTATCTGTAAGCTGCAGACCTACAATGATGCAGCAGCAGCAGAACTAGAAGAAGCAGAAGACAGCCAGTTCCACTGTGGGCCTGGTAGAAGCCCTCCGGGGCCTGATCCGGCCCCCAGGCCACATGTTTGACACCCCTGATGTAAAATGCCACAACTCAGCTATTATCAGGAGCTAGATGGAGCATGCATATTACTCCCATTCTGCAGTCACTCCACAGGCTGCCCATCAGTTACCGGGCTCAATTTAAAGTATTGGCTATCACATACGAACCTCTTCATGGTCTTGGACCCTAACAGTACAGTCTGAAAATAAGTTACACCTTTGTAAATCCATTGAGATCCATGGGCTTGGAAGGGTGTAATTCTGTTTAGGATTGCACTGTAACTTTGGTAACTGAAGAGTTAAACTTCTCTTCTGCGGGGGAGATATGCCAGGCTGGGGGCAGGAGAGTATGTTAAGTAAGCATTAAACTGGGTTCCTAACAGAAGGGGGTTGGTCTGTGTCCCAAAAGCTGCTGGCAAGTTTGGCCCAGCTTGAATTACTAACCCACTTCCTAAATTTAGACAAGTCCTGGGAGGGAATGCATTCCAGTTGCCCTCTTCGATTTATTTTCCGGTGTTCCGCTTTTATCCTTGGCTTTTGGAGAGGCTTTGCTAACATTTTTGTTAGTGTGGGTTGCTGATGGCGTCATTTTCTGGAGCTGCTGGACAGTATCAGTGCAATCCATTCTGAGCCAACTGGCTTCTGTGGATTTAGAAGGGTCTAACTTTGTTTAGGATTGTGCTTAAGTCTCTGAATAAGGAATGCATGTGTCTTGACTCCAGTGAAAATGCTTGTGCATGAAGGGAATGGAATCATGTCGGGAAACGAACCTGAGACCTCTGCCATGGAACCACAATCCATCCCCAAGCATAGGAGTGCACAGTAGCCAGGTTTGCTTATGTAACCTTGTTCTGAATAAGAAAATGGGAACTGCTAATTGACTTAATCCTCATATCTCAAACAAATTAAGAAGAGCCCTGCTGGATCAGAACACTAATCCACCTAGTCCAGGATCCTGTCTCACACAGTGGTCAGTCAGTTACTATGGAGGACCAATGAGAGGGCATAGAGGCCTTCCCATGAAGTTGCCTCCTGCCTCTGGTATTCAGAAGTTTACTGCCTCTGTATGTGGAGGTTCCCTTTAGTCACCATGGCTAGTAGCCACTTCTTATGCCTTCCTTCCAGAGCCAGCCTGCTGGAGATCTGAGCTGTGTTGAGAATTATAGTAGGGTAGCAGAGTGCACTAAAGGCTTACAATGCAGCGAAGCCCATCTGGTCAGTGTGTGCTTGCAAGAAAACAACACAGAGCCTCTTTTATCTTTTCAAACTAGTGAGAGTTTTTTATTATAGGAACTCCATTTCTAGATAGGATAGCATAGAGACAGGTTCCTAATCTAGTCTAACTAACTAGGATGGATGGAGATGCAAGATGCATGTCCTACTCTCATGTCTGCCAAGAAGGAAAAGGGTAGTGTGGAGAGAAACTGTCAAAGCCAGAAGGAAGAAAGTTCCCTGAGAATAGCGATCTACACTTCAAAGGGATAGCATCAGAGAGTACCAAAGGAAGGGTGGTCAGTGTCCTGCCCATCTATCTCTCTGACTCTGTTGCAGTCTTCTCTTCCAACAAGCTGAACAAGGTTTGCTCTGTACAATTAGAAGGTGAGAATTAATCTTTGACCGAAGCCGTACACTGTAAGTGGTTTCCTCTAATCAATTTTACGTCGAGCTATAAACATCACTTCACTCCTCCTCTTCCTCCTCCTCTTCCTCCTCCTCCTCCTCCTCCTCTTCCTCTTCCTCTTCCTCTTCCTCCTCCTCCTCCTCCTCCTCTTCTTCTTCTTATAGGAACTCCATTTCTAGATAGGATAGCATAGAGACAGGTTCCTAATCTAGTCTTAACTAACTAGGATGTCTGCCAAGAAGGAAAAGGGCAGAGTAGTGTGGAGAGAAAGTGTCAAAGCCAGAAGGAAGAAAGTTCCCTGAGAATAGCAATCTACACTTCAAAGGGATAGTATCAGAGAGTACCAAAGGAAGGGTGGTCAGTGTCCTGCCCATCTATCTCTTTGACTCTGTTGCAGTCTTCTCTTCCAACAAGCTGAACAAGGTTTGCTCTGTACAATTAGAAGGTGAGAATTAATCTTTGACCGAAGCCGTACACTGTAAGTGGTTTCCTCTAATCAATTTTACGTCGAGCTATAAACATCACTTCAGCAGTGGGTGAGGAGCCGGAGAGCCAGTTTCTTCATCAGGGAAAAGGCTTTTAATCTGCTTTCTCTTCTCTTGGAAGCTAAGTAGGGTCAGCCTTGGCTAGTACTTGGGTGGGACAAATGTATGTACACTTAAATAAAAGTGGTATTATTATTATTTGTATAGGATAAATGCATATACACTAAATAAAACGGTGCAGCCTTGGTGTGTAAGGAAAAGAGAGATTAGGCTTTTCAGCAAGTTAATGGTAAAGTTATTGCAGATGAAGTCACAGGAAATCACACCGTCACTTCCCTCCTTGAGCATGAGATGTTTCTTCTCCAAGTATGCAGGGGCTGGGGCCTCACCAAGGCAAGGATGCCCCCTCCCAGTTCACAAAAGTGCCATTGTCTTTCTCAGTGAGACGGCCGAGGGTGTTAAGGATTCCTCGCACGCTTGTGTCCACTGTCAGTGGGGGTTGTCCCTTTGAAAAGAGAATCAATGGGTCACACAAGGATTTGGCACTGAATGACCGACTGACTCTGTAAACTGTGGCATTCGTGTCTCACGTTCAGATACCCAATAAAACAGAAGAGCATTCTCAAATGCTGCCCCCTTTTATAGAACGCCATTCCACTGGACGTTCATCTCAACCTGTTTGGAAGTAACATATGATCTGTGCCACTGGGGCCAAATAGTTAAAATATATGAGAAAGAACCATTTCTTTCAGCAAAGGAACTTGTGGAACTCACTGCCACAAGGTATGCTGATGCCCGCTAGCTTACTTGTTTCCCCCCCAAAAAAGGTTAGACAAATTCACGACACTTAGAACTACAAATGGCTATTATCCACAATACCGTGGATGGAATCTCCTTGTCATGGCCAGATCTGGGGGTGAAATCCGAGGCACTAGCATAGGATAGTCAGCCCAGGGTTTGGAAATATCTGGAGATTTGGGGGGGGTGGAGCCTGGGGAGGGTGTGCTTTGGGCAGGGGAGGTTCCTCAGCTGGGTACAATGCCATACTGTCCACCCTCCAAAGCAGCCATTTTCTCCAGGGAACTGATCTTGGTCATCAGTTGTAATAGTGGGAGATCTTCAGGTGCCACCTGGAGGTTGGCAACTCTAACTAGCGACCCCCCCATGCAGGCTGTAGCAAGAGGTGGGCATGTTCCCATCGCTGTGCTTGCCTCCTTCTTTATTCCTTCACTTCCTTTCCCCCGATGCATCATGGGAATTGTAGTGGATGATCAGGTGTTCTGGGAAAAGAAAAGCACTAAGATAACTGAGGGGGTGGCGGGGAAAAAGATGGTGTGTGGTACATTCTGAGTAGATAATTTACGGTTACCAGCTTCAGCATGGGATCTGGACTTCTCCTGGAGTTGCAACTTACGACCGATCTCACATGAGACACATGAAGCTGCCTTATACAGAATCAGACCACAGGTCCATCACAGTTGGTTCTCCAGGGTCTCAGGCTGAGCTCTTTCACATCATCTATTGCCTGGTCCTTTTCACTGAAGATACCATGGGCTGAACCTGGGACCTTTTGCCTGCCAAGCAGATGCTGTGCCACTGAGCCACGGCCCCTGCACACAGCAAAGACCATACAGCCCACAAATCTCCAGGAATTTCCCAAGCTGGCAACCTTAAGGCAACCTTAAGAGTTCTGGGCATGCCTGATCATTAAAGTCAGATGTTCTCAGAATAATAATTCCCAGCATGCACTGGGGGGTGGAGGATGAAAGAAAGATGGAGGGATGACCTTGCAAGAATGTTCTCTCCCCTTGGCCATCTCCCACTGCCACAATGTTCATCCCCCTTAAAGGGGAAAGATAAACGGGTGCGGACTGGCCTGGAAAAGGAAGGGGGGGGGTTTCTTCTCTGGGCCAGGCTTTCCATCCAGGAGAGAAAGACTTGGCTACACAGGGCCTGGCTTCATGGTGGTACACCATGTCTAGTCTAGTCTAACTAGCTAGGATGGATGGAGATGCCTCCTTGGGACAAGCACACAATCAGATATGCATAGCAAGTTTCATGTTAGGAACTTCATTCTGAAGCAGGGGATGGGGGGGGGGGCAAAGGTGGGGAATCTGATACAAACTGACTCCGCTAGGACAGCCCTAGCAAAGGAGCACCCGTTATGATGTCTGTCTACTGATGAACAAGCCACACCAGAGCCTACTTAGAGACTAAACCTTTGAATCTAGGTATTATTTACCAGCCCCCAAAGGCCAAAGTTTCCCTGTTAACCTCCCTGTTGTTGTTTCCCCTATGTGAGATTGATGGAGCCCACCAGGATGAATATAGAGATGGCTCACGCTGCCCTTAGCATTTGCCTCCAGTCCTGGTCACGCAGGCATGCTGCTGTGTTCAGCTTGGCATCATTACACAACGATAGTATAATACTGTCCAGTCTGGGTCTTCCTGGACTATGAGCCCAAACTCAGCAAATCAGTTTGGATGGGCTCCGTGTAGGAATGAAGTTGCACCATGAAACACCTACTGCTGCATTTCCCATGTCCGTCTGCACCCATCCGGGATACAATGCAACGCACAGGATCTCATCTTCTGCAAATCCCAGGGACTGGCACCGGGTGAGCATGTTCAGAGCAGCCTAGGAAGGGAGACATTTTATTTGTTTGTTTGTTTAAAACATTTATTAGCCACCTTCCTTCCTTACAGAGCTGAGGGCAGCATACAACATAGGTAAAAGGCATAAAAATATGAAAATTAAAAATTTTAAAATACAATTCAGGACGGCTAGTAAACCTAACCAAGTGCAGTCCTAAATAAAAACATCGTCAAGTGCCTCCTAAAGATCGAAAGTGAGGGGGGCACCCTGACCTGGCTAGCTCAGGCAAGCCCGAACTTGTCAGATCTCGGAAGCTAAGCAGGGTTGCTGGCAAGTATTTGGATGGGAGACCTCCAAAGAATACCAAGGTCGGGAGGCAGAGGCAGGCTATCAAGCCACTTCTCTGAACGTCCTCCATGCCCCAGCAGGAGTTGCCAGAGGTCACCAAGACTTCCAGGCACAGGTACGCACACTCACACACAAAAAAATGCACACACAAAAGAGAGAGAGAGAAAGGGAGGGGGTCAGGTGCAGGGGTCATTTCCTGCAGGAGCGCACAGGAGTGGAGCTCCGGCAGTAAAGAGCCCAGGAGGCGAGCACATGCAACAAGCCCCACCCCCTGCTCCCAGCAGCCCTCAGTCAGAGCAAGAAGCAGCCAGGTAAGTTGCAGAGCTCCCCCACCCCGCCCCCTGGTCTAAAACAGTCCAGTGGCACCTTTAAGACCAAGTTTTATTCAGGTACAAGCTCTCCCTCCTCTGCGAGATCAGATCTGCACGTCCTCCCCCCCAATAGCTAGCAATCCAAAACAGTCCAGTGGAGCCTGAGTAGTGGCTGTTGCCTTCGGACACACTTCCGGTGATGTCAGGGGGTGTGGCATATGCAAATGAGTTATGCTAATGAGCTCCTGCGCCTCTTTTTCTACGAAATGACCCCTGGGTGCGCCTCCCTGGGGAGGTTCTTCCATAATCACAGGGCTGCCACTGAAAAGGCCCTCTCTCATGTATCCACCAGATGAGCTTCTCTGGTTGATGGGACAGTCAGGAGAGCCTCTCCCTATGACATGCTGGAAGCAAGGAGATGAATGATACATTCAGTTTGATTCTTAATTTTAGTGACTGAGCAAGCACTTCCGCTTTTGCAGAGCGTGCATTTCCCTACCTTGCTGCAACGGTAATTAATGACGTGTCCATGATCCCACGCATGAAGCTTGTTGATGGATCCAAGAACACTGGACACGTTGACAATGGCGGCTTTGCTGCAGCTCATCCCTTTCTGGAGGCTTTCCTGAGACGCCTTCCTCAGCAAGGGCAGGAAAGCCTGGAGAAGGAGAGGGAAGAATCAAGGAAAGCAACACAAGAGTCTGCAGGTAGGTCCGGATAGCGATTCGTCAGTGTGGAATCCCTACCAGTTACTCACCCTCTGGACAGCCATGTGCTCTCATGACCTTATTATCAAGACGCTAGTATTTTATGATCCTGGTTCAATGGGTATTATTCCCCCCTTCATCTTTTCCCCAGCCCAATCAGGGATGGTGCACCAGTTGAATTTCTGTTCAGTTATGCCGCTGTTAACACTACAACTGAACCTTGCCTGGGAAAATAGGCAGCATCCAACCACTGAGAAGTACTGGGGCTCATCCAAGCATCTTCCTTCTCCAGCCAAAACAGCCTCCCTCCAACTTAAGTGGCTCTTTCTCCCAGAGAAGGTCCACTTCATTTGCAGGACACCTGGATTCAAGTCCAGTAGCACCTTAGAAACCAACAAGATTTCAGGGTATAAGCTTTTGAGAGTCAGAAGCTCCCTTCCTCAGATACCATGAACAGGGGTCATTTCCTGCGGGAGCGCACAGGAGCAGAGCTCTGGCAGTAAGGAGCCAAGGGGGCGGGCACATGCAACAAGCCCCGCCCCCTGCTCCCAGCTGCCCTCAGTTGGGCCATGAGGAGCAAGAAGCAGCCAGGTAAGTTGCAGAGGCCCCCCCCAGCCCGCCTTCAGGTACAAGCTCTCCCTCCTCTGTGAGGGCAGATCTGTATGTTCCCCCACCTCCCCAATAGCTAGCAATCCAAAACAGTCCAGTGGAGCCTGAGTGGTGGGTGTTGCCTTCTGACACACTTCCGGTGATGTCAGCGGGTGTGGCATATGCAAATAAGTTATGCTAATGAGTTATGCTAATGAGCTCCTGCACCTCTTTTTCTATGAAATGACCCCTGACCATGAGCATTTTGTCGGGTCTCTAAGCTGCAACTGGAGACGAATCTAGCTGTTCTACTACAGTTACCCTCTGATACTATCTTGGAGGAAGTCTTCAAACCTGAGTCGAAAGGAAAGGTAGGGTATAAATGTTTTAATGTTTTGTCCGTGGAGTGGTAGGATAGGGGCCGGATCCACCCAACCGTCCTTCAGCCGCATCCTGTGCAATCCTAACCAGAGGTATGCCCAGGGGTCGTTTCGTAGATAAAGAGCTAGGGGAACTCATGCTAATGCTAACCCTAACTCATTAGCATATGCCACACCCCCTGACATCACTGGAAGTGTGTCATAAGGCCACACACCCCACCCCCAACGGTCCCGGCCGCCAGTGGTGGCCTTGCAACTCCACTGCCAAGCCCCATGAGGGGCCCGGCGGTGGACCTGCAAGGCCGGCGGGAGTGCAAGGAAGCCCTGCGAAGGCCCTCCCTGGCCCCAGGCAGGCAGGGGTGGGGAGAGGCAGGGAGGAAGCAACTTACCCTCCCTCTTCTCCTGCCTCCTCCTGGCTGAATGAGGGCCAGAAGTGGGGCAGCCGGATGCAGGGGGCGAGGCTTCGTCTTGTGCCCCGCCCCCCGTACCTCACCCGGGGGGACTGCGATCCCCCGCAATCCCCCCCGAAATGACCTCTGGGTATGCCCTTCTGAGCCTACTGACTTCAATGGACTTAGAAAGGTGTAACTGTGCTTAGGGCTGCACTGTAAATTCCATAAGTTAGTTAGGTGTTCTATAAAATGCTTCCTTTGGTCTGTCCATAATCTGTGTTTGCCGTGATACTGCATTGTCCATCTGTGGTCTTATATCTGTGAGGGTGCATTCACACAAAAACTCATGAGTCATCATAATGACTTACTTTCCATCTGTCACATTGTGAACATGCATGTGTTAATTAATCCAAAAATCTTGCCACATATATATATTTCCCTTGGGACATCATTGGGAGGTCCCTAGCCATTACCATTAAGTGGCAACCCTAGGCGTGACCTCCACTGTGTAATGATGTAGCTTATCAAGGTACATTCTGTTCACTTGCATACAAACAATGTAATTCTAAACAGAGTTAACCCTTCTAAACCCATTGGCTTCAATGGGTTTAGAAGGTGTAACTGCTTAAGACTGTGTTGTCACTAGTTCAGTGTCTCTTCACTATTGGTAGTGGGAACGATGAGGGGAAGAGACACCAGGACATTGGTTGGGTACAAAAGCTGTGCCCCACAAAGAAATCAGGCTAAGTCAAGAGTGGAGATTTTACTGTCTTTTACTGTCTGTTGCGCAATAGGAAGCTCAACCTGAGTCAAAAGACCCAGGTAAGGAGTTCAAAGATTCTGTGGTTACATACAGTTTTTATACAATAGCATCGTTAACATATGCAAGCCTTAATTCCCGATCACGATCACGAAAAGTCCCTGTCTGTCACCTAAGTGACTCCCAGACTTACAATCTAACTCGTACCCCCTTTCTCAGGTTATCCTGCCTTTGTTTGTTTTAATTAAATCGCACCCCTCTCCCTCCTCATTTTCCTGTTGTGCTAATTCCATATATGTGCATATGTTCTTTGCCAAATATGATTATATGTTGCAGTAAAAGCTAGATGCTTTCTGTTGCCATAGCTTTCTTGTGACATAAAAGGTAAAGGTTCCCGTGCTCGAAAGCCAGTCGAATCCGATTCTAGGGTTGCGGTGCTCATCTCCGTTTCAAAGCCGAAGAGCCAGCGCTGTCCGAAGACGTTTCCGTGGTCATGTGGCTGGCATGACTAAACACCAAGGCGCACGGAATGCTGTTACCTTCCCACCGAAGTGGTACCTATTTATCTATTTGCAATTTCTTGCTTTCGAACTGCTAGGAGTCGGATTCGACTGGCTTTCAAGCAAGGGAACCTTTACCTTTACCTTTCATCCTTTTGTGTCTGTCATCTCCTAACAGCAATCTCTAATAATCTTGTTACAGAATACTGGTGATGGGTTCCCAATAGTTCCCTATCTGTTCCTCTTACACATCCTTACCTGGGTCACTGTCATGGGCCCGATCACATTGGTTTTGTACACCTCGGCCATGTCCTCTGCCGTCTCCGATTCCAGAGTGCTTAGCCTTAGAATCCCAGCATTGTTGAGGAGGAGATTCAGCCCAGCTCCTTGCAGGTGTTCTGTGACTTTGGCTGCAGCAGCCTGGATGCTGGATGGGTCACTAGTATCTACAGCAGCAAAGGTTTACAGGTAATTAAAGGTGAGACGCTGCCAGCTAGGAAGCATTTCAGCAGCTTCCGATGCAACTGCCTTCAGAGCAGGGGTGTCGAACTCGTTTGTTATGAGGGCCAGATCTGACATAAATGAGACCTTGTTGGGCTGGGCCATGTGTGTCATAAAATGTAATGCCAGGTAGTGGAGATACAAACTTTATAAAGTACACAAGCACAAAGGGGTTTTCTGTGTTTTTGCAATCTTGAGTATGCTGTTCAGATGTGTATCTGTAAGCTGCAAACCTACAATAACGCAGCAGCAGGAGAACTGGAAGAAGAAGCAGAAGATAGCCAGTTCTACTGCGCGCCTGATAGGAGCCCTCCGGGGGCCTAATCCGGCCCCCGGGCCACATTTCTACACCCCTGCTTTAGAGCATGTGCTCTTGTTGTTCTCACAGGGCAGAGAACTAAGGGTCCTTTCACACACTGTGCTGATTTTTCTATGCATGCAAAATATCATATGCATACAAATAAGAACTATGTAACATAGGTGTTTATAATAAATTAATGTCCACTGAGGCCATGGATGCTGGTGCCCCTGGCCCTTCTAAATCACAAATGAGGCATTGGAGTTCATTGGTTGGGCATCTAATAGCCTCGCCTAGGGGGCAGGCCAAAGGGGAGACCATAGAAGGGGCTTCTCACTTTGGGGAGCGGGGACGGAGCATGGGGAGGGGAAACTTTGCGGATGGAGTGACATCCCTTCTGGGTGATTACCGAGGAGGGACGTCATACACATAGACCCCTGCACATGCTGCTATAGGAATTTCCTCTGTGGCAAGGACCATAAAGTTAGTGGACATTCCTAGACTGTTACAAACACGAAGAAGAAGGAGGAGGAGGAGGAGGAGGAGGAGATTGGATTTATACCCCGCCCTTCACTTGGAGTCTCAGAGCGGCTTACAAACTCCTTTCCCTTCCCCCTCCCCACAACAGACACCCTGTGAGGTGGGTGGGGCTGAGAGAACTCTGACACAAACTGCTCTTTTTCAAGGACAGCTGTGCCAGAGCTTGTGACTGACCCAAGGTCACATCAGCAGGTGCAAGTGGAGGAGTGGGGAATCAAACCTGGTTCTCCCAGATTAGAGTCCACACACTTAACCACTACACCAAACTGGCTCTGATGGAAATGACATTGCTGTGTCTGTCTGTATCATCTCTCCCCCGCCCCTGTTTACTTCCTCTTTCAAGAGCAGGGGAAAGTGGCGGAATAGGTGGTGGGGGTGGGAGCCTAAAACCCTTGGGCTGATAAGCCTAAACTCAGCCCATTACTATTAAAAAAACTCTTTAAAACCTTAGTGTGGTCTTCCTGAGTCTTTATTTGGGGAGCGGTGCTGGGACAACTATTATACATGTTGGGGCTTATGTACATGGAACGCCAAACACTTTCCCTGCTATGTACTGTGTCAGATTAAAGAAGGAATCCGTCTGTTGGAACACATGTGAAATGTTGGTGTTCTGTAGATGGGATCTAAGTAAGTAGCAGCATGAGTTGACTCCACGTCACTGTCTTTGTGTTCTCATCAATGTCAGAGGTCATTTCGGGGGGGATCGCGGGGGAACGCAGTAGATTAAAGAAGGAATCCGTCTGTTGGAACACATGTGAAATGTTGGTGTTCTGTAGATGGGATCTAAGTAAGTAGCAGCATGAGTTGACTCCACGTCACTGTCTTTGTGTTCTCATCAATGTCAGAGGTCATTTCGGGGGGGATCGCGGGGGAACGCAGTTCCCCCGGGTGAGGTGCAGGGGGGCGGGGCACATGATG